ATGAGGAATTAGGAAAAATCCTTTTTAAAGCCTTAATTAAAAGAAAAACACAATTCCAAACTTTTGGTACAGATCATAGCTTATAACAGATACTTTATTCATGAGTTTTGTTTTTGTTTTTTTAATTGAGCTCAGTTTCGGAGATTTTTCCTTGAGAAATGTTCTCAGGCTGATTTTCTGTTTTCTAGGTTAAACTACATCAGAACTGTAATAAATAGAAAAAAGAATGGTCAGGAGAGTCAGAACAGAGGGCTGCTATTTACAATTCCTAAGTAGTGTCCTAACTACAAGAAGGGTGAGTCACTGGGGAGAGTAATCCTGATATAGGATAAAAGAGAACAAATACTGAAGATTAGCAAAGGCCAAAATATCCATCTGCAGCATAAGAAAGAACAGCTCATGTACCAGACACACATTATCAAAAGATAATCAAAAACATGAAAGATTACTTGTGGCATTACTGACATTAACCTTCTATGCAAACCACTGGTTGGTCCATTTGGCTCAAGCACAACTGATCACCAAGTGATAACATTATGACAAGTTCAAAGGGGACCACTGGGGAATGAAAAAGCAAGCAAGATACATGAAAACAAAAAGGATATATATGCAATTTTAATCTCAATGTAAACACTGCCTAGGTACGATAAAAAGCAACAGAAAAAAGAGTAACAAAATCCTTTAAAAGGTGCTGACATGATTAAAAGAAGAAACTCATGCCTAAAGATAAATATTGAAGAGAATAGGGTTGATTTAGGTTAGAGAGTATCACCTTATGCTTCCACTTTACTGAAAGAATTATTTATTTCCCTCATGCAAAGGTCATTAGATAAAAGCTAAAATTCTATTAGACAAGATACAGAAACAGAGGACTATAAACGAAGGAAGAGTCCAGGCACCAAGGTGAATTGACGCTGCTTTCTGTCTAGAAGAAACTGGTGGAGGATGAAACACAAGGGAGAGATTTTAGTTCTTTAGGGTAAAGGGCAAGTGGCAGTAACCCAGTGTTCAAGGGTTAGTGTAAATGACTTCCGAATTGGTAGGTCCGATGAAGCTTCAAACGTGAGCAAGAGCTGGAGGCAGAGCCCCCATTACGCTACGTTCACATGAACCAGGAAGACAATTAGACATCCTTGAGCTGTAACTCACAGATAGATGGCCATGAAGGGGGGGCCAATGGATGGCAAACGGAAGCAGAATAGTCTTTGGTCTGTAAGTTTATGTCATTTGATCTAGCACAGCTGAGAGACCTGAAGGGCTTTCTTGGCATATGCAAATGATTATGAGTAGGAAAACAAATCAAATAGCAATACTCCTTTAGGAAAATTGTAATCAAACATGGGACATCAAGAGAATGCATAATTACACTCAATCCATTGCTGGTATAAAGAAAGAAACAGTGATTCGGGAGACCGAAAAAGCTCCTCTACCATAGCTAGGCCTTTCAGTTCAACTTTGAATTTTTTAAATTGTTATTTCAGTGGTGCCTGGGTAGCTCAGTCGGTTAAGCATCAGACTTCATTTCAGGTCATGATCTCACAAGTTTGTGAGTTCAAGCCCCATGTCGGGCTCTGTGCTGACAGCTCAGAGCCTGGAGCCTCCTTCAGATTCTGTGTCTCCCTCTCTCTGTGCCCCTTCCCTGCTTGCGTTCTCTCTCTCCCTCTCTCCTTCTCTCTCAAAAATAAAAATTAAAAAATTTTAAATAAAATAAACTAAAACAAGCTGTTATTTCAGTTTTATGAAATGACAACTGATTTAAAAATGTAATACTTCTATACATGGACCTTTCTTAGACTTTTAAAAGAAACTTTACTGAAGTAATCTCCTCAAAAATTATATAGATCTGGAATTAGCACAAAATAAACATTTGGGGGCTTGTCACTAAAAAGAATTATCCAATCCAACAATCTGAAAGGCTAGGGCAAAATTTTGATGCAGGAGGACCTTTTAAAACGAAGTTTCCACTGAGGGCAGGAAACGTCCTACTTTGCACACAGGCTATCCACTGAATTTCTTATTTGCCATCTTTTCTCTTGCATGTAGCAAGATGCTAGGATTTCTCCATAATCCCCCAACTGGTAACCTCTACTTTGCAAGTGGGGATATACATCTGGTAAATTTCACGATGTTGAAAAAAGAAAAAGACCTCTCACCACCAAAGACTTGAGGTTATTGGTGGCTATCTGTTTAACTGAAGTATAAGTGACAGGCAACATTTTATTAGTTTCAGGTGTATGACATTGCTTCACCAACGTATAGATTACGTAAAGCTCCCCACTGTAAGTGCAGTCACCAAACATTATGACAATATTATTGACTATATTCCCTATGCTGTACTTTTCATCTCGGTGACTTATTTTATAACTGGAAGTGTGTACCTCTTAATCCGCTTCACCTATTTTGACCATCGCCCCCGCCCCACCGCCACGTTCCCTCTGGCGACCACTAGTTTGTTGTATGTATGAATGTGTTTCTGTTTTTTTGTTTCTTCATTTGTTTTTTAGATTCCACATGTAAGTGAAATGACCTGGTATTTATCTTTCTCTGTCTGACTTCACTTATCATAATTCCCTCCAGGTCCATCCATGTTGGTGGTTATTTTATTTTATTTGTTTATTTTTTCCAATATATGAAGTTTATTGTCAAATTGGTTTCCATACAACACCCAGTGCTCATCCCAAAAGGTGCCCTCCTCAATACCCATCACCCACCCTCCTCTCCCTCCCACCCCCATCAATCCTCAGATTGTTGTTCTCAGTTTTTAAGAGTCTCTTATGCTTTGGCTCTCTCCCACTCTAACCTCTGTTTGTTTGTTTGTTTGTTTTTTTTCCCTTCCCTTCCCCCATGGGTTTCTGTTAAGTTTCTCAGGATCCACATAAGAGTGAAAACATATGGTATCTGTCTTTCTCTGTATGGCTTATTTCACTTAGCATCACACTCTCCAGTTCCATCCATGTTGCTACAAAGGACCATATTTCATTCTTTCTCATTGCCACGTAGTACTCCATTGTGTATATAAACCACAATTTCTTTATCCGTTCATCAGTTGATGGACATTTAGGCTCTTTCCATAATTTGGCTATTGTTGAGAGTGCTGCTATAAACATTGGGGTACAAGTGCCCCTATGCATCAGTACTCCTGTATCCCTTGGGTAAATTCCTAGCAGTGCTATTGCTGGGTCATAGGGTAGGTCTATTTTTAATTTTCTGAGGAACCTCCACACTGCTTTCCAGAGCGGCTGCACCAATTTGCATTCCCATGTTGGTGGTTATTTTAAATTAATAATGTTCCCAATATATTTGAGGGACCAAAAGAAGTTTAAAAGTAACAACTCCAAGGTCCAAGTGTATATCAATATATACTATCTAATAGGATATATGTATGCATATTTGTAATAACAAAACCCTCAACTATTTCTCTTATGATAAAAATACCATATGTAAATACTTAACTTTCTAGATTCTCCACTGAAAATATCCAAAACTGAACTGATTGACAGGCATGTTGACTGCAGGCCCAGAGAGCATCTAAAAGGGGCACGGCTTTCATTACCATGAAAGAGAGTGATACCTGTAATCATTGAGCCTGTGGCTATGCTCTCACATGGCTCATAATAATAACTATCTGGTTACAGGTGCATGCTCGTATCTTTTAAATAATTCACTATATTTGGGGGGCAGATTGGTCATCACTGTTGTCATTTTCAACCTATTGACAATTCTGTACAGAAAGGATTTACATGAACTGCCTTTTCTTTTGAGTGTCATGAATTTGACAATATATATGTGTGTAATTATCCACTTCTTCTTTTGAAGGGCGAAGAAAAATAAATGCTTCTGAAAGGCTACCATAAATCCTCCCATTTTGGCTCGCTGACACAGGTTTATAAATCACTGAGCTGCATGAACGCCTAAAATATGAAGTAAAAGAGCTATTTAGGGCTTTCCTCTTTTTGTAGCTTGTCTCGTGAAAAAAAATTTGTCTAAATCAAAACCAACAAATTGATCTCTGCACAAAATATATGGATCATAATGACCCGAAGATACATAAAGCCTCACCTATACTCAGATCACCACCTACACATAAAAAATTATGTATATCAGGGTGTCTGACTTCGGCTCAGGTCATGATCTCATGGTTCATGAGTTCAAACCCCATGTCGGACTCTGTGCTGACAGCTCAGAGCCTGGAGCCTGCTTCAGATTCTGTGCCTCCCTCTCTCTCTCTGCCCCTCCCCAGCTCATGCTCTCTCTCTGTCTCTCAAAAATTAATTAATGTTAAAAAATTTTTTAATTGTGTATATCAAAGTATAGAACATTCTATTTTTTTCCAAACCATTTCAAACACGTATGAACCTTGAAAACATGAAAGCATTTCACAGGCCCTCACATGGCAGTACATGCACATGAGAACACATTACTGTTTTTAAACTGCTATTCAGTTAGGAACATTTGAAAGAATTTTGTATCTTACCAATTACAACAGCATCAACGTATTCCTGAAAAGAGCAAGTATATGTACGAGACCTCATTCGGTCTACAGACACTGCTCCACATCTGACAAATATCACACTGTTTTCCATCCCTTCGTCCCAGCTCCACCCAACCCCACGCACTAGGCTACCACGCTAGAGGCCTGCAACCCCAGGCACCACGCTAGAGGCCGATGCTATGGGTTAGGGGTGCCAGAAGGCTGGGGTGGAGTAGACAGAAATAACAGGCAATCTATCACCTGCTACTCCAGACCCACCAATGTTATTCTCCCTTTGTGTATGAAGAGCAACATTTGATTACTCAATGGGCTTATGATTAAATGCAAAATACTCAAAGATGCTCAAAGAGACACTGGGAAACCAGTGGTGAGAGGAAGGGCGGGAAGGGGGGAGGAAGAGACTGATTAAGACTGATTGACCTTTGATGAAGCTATCCGGAATTATACTATCAGAAAATTTACAAAGGAGCCATTTGCCTTTCCATATATATGCAAATTTTACAGGGCTCCTAAAGGTCTTAATCTGCGGTTGGTAAATGCCCTGTGTAGTTAAGCAAGTATAACTGTTAAAATGGGACACCTGTCTCAGAACAAAGTGATGGCAAAGAGTACCACATTCCAAACTTACTGTTATACCACCAAAAGGGGCGGCTGAAAATCGGCCTGCTGCCCTTGGCTGACCCCCAGCTCTGGTCTTCCAGAAGCGGTCGGGGAGCAAAAGGATGGTTCTTGGAAGGAGGTTTTGGGAGCTTCTGAGTCCTGCTCTTGCCCACTTCAGCCTGGCCTCACCTCAAGCCTAGAGAGAGTGGCTTTGGAGACACCTGTGTCCCCCAGGAGGTGGGACACAAGAGACCGGTGTCTGGCTGTGCCTGGAGATGAAGACGAAGAGACGGGCTAGGCAGGCTGTGGCAGCAGAGGGCAAGGAGGGGGCTTGCTGTTAGAGACAGGCTGCTCCAGAAAGAGCCGGCCTGGGGATGTCCGCAATGCCCCCAAGAGGCCTTGGGACAAGGCAGTCGTCACCACTGACCAGCTGGGGGATCGTTGGCGGAGGCAAGAGAACCACAGGTCAGATTTCTGGTGACGGGCATTCCCCAGAAAACCGTCCCAAGTGCCCCAGAGAGCGCTCGCCTTAACACCTGACAAGCCCAATGAAGGTTACTGTCATCAAGAAAGACTTCCTGCCAGGGGCACCTGGGTGGCTCGGTTGGTTAAGCAGTTAAGCATCCAACTTTGGCTCAGGTCATAATCTCACAGTTTGTGAGTCGGAGCCCCGGGTCGGGCTCTGTGCGGAAAGCTCAGAGCCTGGAGCCTGCTTTGGATTCTGTGTCTCCTTCTCTGCCCTTCTCCTACTAGCTCACTCACTCTCTCTCTCAAAAATAAACATTAAATTTTTTTTTAAAAAAAAGACTTCCTGCCAACTTCCCTCTTCTTCCATGTTCCTGCTGCACCCTGACAGGGGCAGGAGCGCTGGGCAATGGGCAAGGGTGTGAGGACCCTGGCAGAGCGAAGTAAGAGGCAGCTTCCCACCCCTTCCCCCCTCCCCTCCTGGGTTCCAGCCTGGGGTGGCCCGAGCTCCAACACAGGTCAACCTACATTAACTTCAGACCCCCACCCCCACCCCGATTACACAGGATTGCATGATTTGGTTACCAAAATGAGACTTTTGTGACTTGAAATGACTGGGGGAGGGGTTCTTACTGTCTGAATATAAGAGAGGTCATGGGACCCATCCTAATTTAAGGAATGGGACAAAGGAGTAGAGGCCCCATAGAGCAGGTGGGTAGGCAGGGGGTTAAACTGTTTTTCTGTTACCCTTCAAGGTACTGGTTACAGTCGAATTTCAAACTTCCAATGGAAAATATGTAAGATTTGAACTACATGAGTCTTCAAAGAAAGGAAGAGCTCAAACCAAAAATTTACCGAGTCATATACTCATAATGATTACCAGTTTCCTCAAAAAATGCCAGCAGGAATTTTCATTATATGATATCTAAATGGCAGCATATTTCAGCATCAATGTTTTATTGTTAATATAATGGTACTATCTTAGAATAAGAAAGGACTGGTCCAGATTCTAATCCTATAGATGAGATAACAGTCGACAGATAGCCTACATAAGGTTATAAAGCTAGTTACTTGCAAAGCTGAACTGCATGATTTTCAGCTCAATGTTACTTCCTTTTCTTTCTCAGATCCAGAAAGCAACCTCAACTGTGAAGATTTACGAATAAACTTGATAAGAATGAAGTCTGAGATGTGAAATTGTTACGAAAATGAGAGAAAGAAAAGCCACACAGTGAGGTAGGTCAAGAGTAACCAGACACAGGGAGGAAGAGAGGGAAACACTTCCAGACAAAGGAAAAGAGGGTTCCCATTTGTTCATGAATTCTATTTCCAGATTTGAAAGTGGCGTGACTGGTTGGTTCAAGAAAAAGTGATCTCTGGGTACAGCACCTAAGCTGACTAATGGAAGTAAAGGGGCACCAAAATGAGAAAAGACAGACTCATTTTACGACAGCTGACATTGGCAGGGAGCCACCAAAAGACGACCAACATGTTTGTAGAGACAGGCCTTTATTCCCAAGACAAGAAGAGTGTAAAGCTTGGACCAGAACTCTAACTATAGGCACAGAAGACATGAAATTTCAAAACAACAACAAAAAAGTTGAACAGAATTAGTAATCATTTAGCTACGAAGAGACAGATGATGAGTTTACATTCTCACCAGAAATATAATATAGAAGTAGCAGTTCTCAAAATTATATGGGTATCATCATCATGGAAATGGCAATTAAAAAAAACAAAAAAGCTTTCCATCAATATAAAGGGATACAGTAAGTGAAAAAGAGCCAAGATTCACAAAAAGCCAAGTGAACATGCATTCGTTTCAGTGGTAGAAACACCACTGAAAGGCTACTGAAAATCAGGTAGCAAAAGGCTCAAAAATATTGAGAATATCAAGAGACTCATATCCCAGGATCAGGGAAAATAATAAATATAGAATGAAGCCATCGGTTAAGCCAATCTTTAAAAGTCAATATTTGGGGCGCCTGGGTGGCTCAGTCGGTTAAGGTTCTGACTTCGGCTCAGGTCATGATCTCAGGCTTCATGAGTTCAAGCCCCACATCGGGCTCTGGGCTGACAGCTCAGAGCCTGGAGCCTGTTTCGGATTCTGTGTCTCCCTCTCTCTCTGCCCCTCCCCTGCTCTTGCTCTGTCTCTCTCTCTCTCAAAAATAAACAAATATTAAAAAAAAATTTTTTTTAAGTCAATATATTAAGTCACAAAGCAAATAAAAACAAAATAATACAACAAAAATAATAAAACATGCTTCGCTGTTTTGCATGCTCGGGGAAAAAAAAGTGTTGGTGAGACTCTAATTCCCATTCAGAATTAAAGGTATTCAGGGTGTTCAGGACTGTAAGGATTCTTCTCTCCCTTTAGCAGATGAGGAAAGTGACATCTGAGTAGTAACATGGCCACCTTACATGCTTTGTCACAATGTTGGTCCAGACTTTCCCTCCAGAACCCTGTCACCTGCATCTTTCCTCACAATACTGACAACACCTGTACTTTTAAAGATTCCATTAATACAGATAACAGACCATGTCCATAGAGCATGGAAAACATAAGAGCTAAGCAGGAGGGCTTTAAGAGTAAGTAGTCGAGATTTGTTGGATAAGAGATAAACAATTCTGATTCCTGTTGATCAGAAGCATATCATAATTACAAATTATATAGAAAGCCTATACTTCTAGGTAGGGTTTTCCAATCTACCTCATTTCAGACGAAGCAAAACCAAAACTTCGTAAGGTTCTACGTAGAGACCAGTACAATATGTGTTCATTACAAGATAGCAGTTAGTTTGAATATTCATAGTACAAGCCACACTCAGAAGCAAAACAAAAAGATTAGAGGCAATAGGAAACATGCACTTGTTTAAGATCACAGTTTCTTTGTAAATACATGGAAACACATACCCATTTTTCCACATCAACTTGCTGGGGAAAGAAAAAGCCAAAATAAATAACAAGCAAACAAATAAATGCCTGGCAAAGTTTCAATTACTGTCATTTAAATAAATGGTCCCTGCACCAAAATCTTCCATTTCTAATGGAAAATGAAAGTACTCAAATTGTAATTAATAACATTTAATCTCAAACAAACCAGAAAAAGTCAATTAACTTACTAATCGGAATTTTTAAAGTTATTAAGCTGGAAAAGCACCAGGTACACAAAATCATAACAATCCAACATATTCAAAACCAAACATGAACACTGATCTGATTCTCAAACCTAACAGGCTTCCAGATTTAGGGACCAGTCTTCTCCTCTAACTGTAAGTATCTATTTAATGAAAATAGAAATATGGCGGTCAATTTAGAAATACAGCATCTAACCATAAAAATCTTTCATGAAATAAAAGTAAACTTTCTCTTACCCCAATCTTCCTCACATTGTATAAAATGTCACAATATAACAAAAGGCATGCCTTGCCAAAAAATCCTGAAATTGTATCAGCATCAAATTTTTTTATTGCATTTATTAATGAATGCATGTTAGTCTCATAATCATTATGAGATTCCTTGAAAATATCAGTGAATAAAATTATATTCCAAAGTATAAAATACAATTTAAAAAAAAACCCGTATGTCAACAAAGACTGTCTGTCTCTACAATGCCCTCAGTTCCTAGCAAATCAATCAGAAAAATAAATAAATAAAAGTCAACTTTAAGTCTCAGAGTTGTTTGCAAAACCCACCCCCCCCCCTAATATAACACCTATGATTGGTATGTTGTGAGACTTGAGGTTTGTTTCAGACTCTTCATACACTAAGTTTATTTGTAACTTTTTTCCTTAGGCAACTCATTAATTGGGGAAGATCTAAGGCTAGTTAGGCAGAAATCTTGGGCCATGGCCAGGAATCTGCATCCCTTAGTAAGCAAGCTTGTGGAAGGAAATGTGCATAAACGTAACACACAGTGGTTATTTTTAAGATACTAGACACTGATATAAAAATATCGACTTAAGTACACAGGTGGAATTGTTTTGAAGCCCCAGGAGGCTACTTACAAGAGAGCATTTTGGTTTATTTAATAATTTATTTAGTCCTCTGAAAAATCTGTTATAAGTTTTAAAAACACACAATTGCTTTTTAAGAGAGAACAACTAACTGAATGGAAAGACCTGGTTTTCACTCTAAATTTTTAAGCTACTTGGCTGTGATATAAAGTTCAAGTCCTCATTTTAAACTTTAACTTATTTACAACGGGATGACTTTGTTTCTTCAGATACTGGGGCAGAGGGAAACAATTTAATCGTGACTAGTTGTAATATAGTTACCATTTACTTTTCTACCTCCCAAGGACAAATCCTTGTATTTGTTCTCTTTCAAGAGCAGTAATTCAAGAAAATGTGAAATGATTTCCTTTAAATAGTTGTCGGGAAAACAAAATATGCCATATTTGCAATGACTCCGTTGATGAGCAAAGACAGTTTATTAACCCATCATTTTCACTTCTAAATGTTAAATTCTCTCTCTCTCTCTCTCTCTCTCTCTCTCTCACACACACACACACACACACACGCATTTGCATCACTGCAAAGATAAAGTGTTGTAGGATTTTTCTAGAAGAAAGAACTTGTAATCAAAAGTCAGTAACTAGTATTAGTAATAGAAACTCTTTACTGATCTATAGTTACAAGGAGAAACAATTTCTTAAAAGTAGCAAGAATTAGTAGCAATATAACAAACTCAGTATCCCAATACCCAAAGAAAGGCTTAGCAACAGCATGTGCTGGAGGTGAATTATCACATCAACACAAAAGACAAGACAAATGGCCCACAGATTTAAAAGACTAAAGGGCAATAAAGTTGTAATTATGCATAAGCAAGGCAGAGCGATTTCATGACACATCTCTTACTAATGTTAACAAGAACCATTTCATTAAATGCCTGCAAAAGGTGAAGAGGAGAATGATTTCTGTGGAGATAATTGAGGAAGGGAAACATAAAGTTCACAATAACCTTGATTAATTTTATAGTTTAAACAATTACCAAATCCATAAAGCATATAAGACAAATGAACATTTATTCTAATCATTTATTATCCAAATATTTGGGATTTTAAAAATATGCAGAAATTACATTAGAGAAAATAAATATATTAACATCTCTAGGAAATTACATTAAGTATTCTATCATAATAAGACTAAAAAAAATGGCAACCTCATTTTTCAAAGAAAACAAAACTGCCATTAAGGAAAATAAAAGAGTAGTTTAAATTCCAAGTTGATTTAGCAAAGGACAGAAGTTAAAAATATAGTATAAAAGCAATTAATTCTAAATTGTATCATTATATGAAAGATGAAATATTCATATGACATCTCTTTGTATTCATATTTTAATTAATACTTTCAGGATATATAAACACGAACTATTCCATCATGTTAAAAAAATTTTTGGTTGCTTCTTTCAAATTGCTTGAGTTAAGCCTTACTGTGTAAGGTGAAGAATTTTATTATCATTAAATCTGTAAGTCATATATTAAGCAGTTACTATGTGCCAGGCTTTGAACTAAATGTTTTACGTGTAATCTTCTTATCTGCATTTTATATATGAAGATACAAATGACATATAAAGGTGTTACAAATCCTCCACAATGAAAAAATGTCACTTAGTTATTAAACAATGGAACTTGACCTTGACATTGTGTCTCTAACGGCAAAGCCCCACACTCTCATGCCACTACTTGGTACACCATATTCAAGTTACATCATCTTTTTTTTTCTTGTCTCAAATTTTTATTCTGCATTCAATTTGAAATTGCTCAACAGCCTATTTCTTCTTCTTTAAGTTTATTCATTTTGAGAGACAGAGAAAGAGAGCGCACCGGTGCACAAGTGGGGGAGAGGCAGAGAGAGAGACAGACAGACAGACAGACAGAGAATCCCAGGCAGGCTCTGCACTGTCAGCACAGAGCCCAATAAAGGGCTCAAACCCAGGAACCATGAGATCATGGCCCAAGCTGAAATCAAGAATCTGACTCAACAGCCTATTTGTTAGTTAAGTGCCACCCAGTATAATATGTTAACATCAAGATGAGAGAAAGTAAAATGCACCTATAACATCAAACATGTTATTTAGTATCACTTGTTCAAAGCATGTTTGGTTTTTTGCATAGATACATTTACAGTGTTTGTTTATTGTTGACAGAGAGAGAAAGAGAGAAAGAGAGAGAGAGAGAGAGAGAGAGAGAGAGAGAGAGAGAGCGCGAGCAAGCAGGGGAGGGGTAGAGAGGGAGACACAGAATCCAAAGCAGGCTCTAGGCTCTGAGCTGTCAGCACAGAGCCCAATACGGGGCTCAAACTCAAGAACCATGAGATCATGACCTGAACTGAAGTCTGACACTTAACTGACTGAGCCACCCAGGCGCCCCAAGAATTTTTAATATCAAGGCATAACACAAACAAATAATCAAAATCTTTAATGCATGCCGACAATCCACTACCCTGCTGTTAAATTTTTTTGAGTAATAAATTAGAGAAAAGTGAAAAAGAAATTCTCTACCCTACAAATAATTCTCTACCACACAGGCTGTTTATTATTAAGATTGGAATAGGGGAGCAGGGACATGAAAATTCGCACACTGTGTTCCAGCATTCAAAACACGATGAAGTCATCTAGATTTTTTAAAGCAAATTATGATTTGGAGAGGCCATGTTTTTAATGAATATATTCATTTCAGAATATATTGAATTCTGAATATGTTGAATAATGAATATATTCAGTTCAGAAAAATATGCAAGCCATGAGTATAGAGTTTGCTGAAATTTTACTGAGTAAATGAGCCCATGTAGTCAGCTCCAGATCTAAACAGAGGACACGACCATGACCTAGAAACTTCCTTCACACCCTCCCCAAAGATAGCAATTATTCTATCACTATTAATTTAAATATTTGCTTATTTTATTTTTTTTTTTAATTTTTTTTTCAACGTTTATTTATTTTGGGGGGGACAGAGAGAGACAGAGCATGAACGGGGGAGGGGCAGAGAGAGAGAGGGAGACACAGAATCGGAAACAGGCTCCAGGCTCTGAGCCATCAGCCCAGAGCCTGACATGGGGCTCAAACTCACGGACCGCGAGATCGTGACCTGGCTGAAGTCGGACGCTTAACCGACTGCGCCACCCAGGCACCCCTACTTATTTTATTTTTGAGAGAGAGAGAGAGAGAGAGAGGATGAGCAGGGTGAGGGAAGAGAAAGGGGGAGACAGAGAATCCCAAGCAGGCTCCACACTGTCAGTGGAGCGAGATACAGGGCTCAATCTCAGGAACGTGTGAGATCATGACCTGAGCTGAGATCAAGACTTTGACACTTAACCGACTGAGCCAGCCAGGCGCCCAAGTTTTACTTTTCTTATTTTGAAAATATAGACTATGTTCTCTTTTTATCTAGTTCCTTTAGTGGACATTTAAGTTTGTAAAACTCATCACACTGTCGTGGGTAGTAGAAATTAATTCATTTTCCTGGCTTTGTAACACTCTTTTGTATGAATATATCACAATTTGCATATCCATTCAACAGCTGAAGGAGCAATTAGTGATCTACTGCAACTTGGAAAGGGAACTAATGAAATTTTCTCTCATTTTTCAACAAGACCTCACGCAAACAATAGAAGATTCAAAATAAATTAAAACTGCTTTGTTTTGGCTTACATGTTTCCTTCCTCTGCCTCCCCACACAAAACATGGATTCCTTGGTGCCTAGTTATTGATTGAATAAGTTACCAGACTGCCATTTAATAAGGAATTAAAAGAAAGCCACATTATATGCTTTTATTAAATATCGGCATATAGGTAGGTCAATCACATCTCAACAAGCAATGAGCTCATCCCTTGGCAGCAGGAGGGGAAAGAAACTAATATCATTAAGAATCTACTACCTGTGCTAGGTATTTTTATATTTATATTTTTGTATTTTACATTATATTTATACT